AGAACTTATGATACTGCGTATAAAGGTGTAAAATTGCGCTTCTCTATGCTTTACAACTCGATCATAATCGTTCTCAAATTTCCATATCACCTGTTTCGTGGTAACAGGATAGTAACATAGATAGGTCGAAGTGTTTATATTATAGATTTGCATTGGAGAAAATCCATTTTTATAAACGACACTAAGATTACTAGCGAGCTGTATTTTAACAGTTTCACTGTATAAATAGGGTTGTTTCGTTCCAACGCTTGACGAGATTGCAATATTTCCCACCGAGTTTCTTGAATCTCTCAGTACTTGGAATATCGATATTCCAACTTTACCTATTGCATGGCTTGTTGTAGCAGATATGTGGTAATTTCTAGCGTTATCACTTTCGGCTTTCACAATTACCCCATTAATAGTATTGCCTGTAACGGTGCCTTCACGCATCATTTGACCGACTTCAAATCGAGAAGTGGACATAAAGTGTGCGATAGAATTATTACCATAAGTGAATGCAACATACAGATCAGGCTTGTCACTGGTAACTTCTCCGTAGCCTTTCATTAATTGCAAGACGATCTTCAACTTGCAGTCAGTTTTATTGTGTGGGATATTAACAGACACGCTTTTGATAAATCTCGCTAAATTATAAAATACTTTAACTAAAAATAAGGCATCAGCATAATCGACAACTTGATTATGGTCATAGTCCAGTGATACATTTAGAGGCTGCAAGGCTTTCGAGGATTCGATCTTTATATATGCTGCATCCATAATATTAAAACTGCAATCTCCGTTACTGTCTCCCATTGCGGGCTTAACACATTTCTTTACCTCAATGTTACTGTTTAAATATTGAAGAGAATTGTCGATAATCTCCAAAGGACGCCCAGTAATGTTTGGATAACCTGGCTTCATTATTATCGCTGAAATAAATCCAATCCTGTACATTATCCCATAAGTATTGTCAGCAGCATTGATTAGACCTCCAACCTTTATAGTGGTATTGTATAAAGCGAAAATAATATCATTGTCATGACTAGGAGTAAAACTGATTGCTTTTATATTATTGGGATCGAATTTAATAAGGACATTAACAGCTGCCAGTTTAGCTGAGCCGCGATTAACATAGACGTTAACATTGACATTTTGTCCTTTTAGATAACTTCCAATTGCCGGCCCGACAAGTCGCC